TTGTTCCTTCGCTCACCACCGCCAAGGTTGTGCGCGATGGCATTGTCTGCAGTTTTCCAACAACACTTTTGGTTGAAGGAGATGTTGTGGAAATGCTATATGGCGACGTGGCTCCGTGTAGAATGAAATATTTGGAGCAAAAAGATTTAGCACCAAAATATTTGGAATCATCCCATGTCCTTAAGCCAACATTTTTCGAAAAGATGTCGTCACATGCTTTATGGGAACAAAACATAAATAACGAGGGGAGATATAAATTCGTTCTCTTAGAAACTCCCTGGGCAAATTGCCTGAGATCCGCACTAAACCAGACCCGACCCGCTACAGTAATAACTAAACAGGCAGAAATTTTGGAACGAGTTTTCCTGCATCGATTCGTTTTTGTTATACTCGCAATGTCGTTTTTGATTAACCTGCTAAGATATATGTCGTCCGAGGCTCCTAGCAATAGACACGGAGATCAGGTCTTTGAAACATTGGTGATTCTTCCTATGTATTCCATCATACCCCTGATCCCATTAGCTTTTCCGGTTCTTTGGGTGGTGACTCGTGGTTTTGCGAATGCTACAATACTAGTTTTATTTGAGGCCCTTCAAATTTCCAAGACCGAGTATGAAGACGACGAGGAGGTGGACGAGTTTGATGCCGAGGCCCCGCCGCCTACAAAAAATGTTCATATTGACAAAGGTTCGATTCAAATCTTTTAGTCGGGCTCTTTGGACATATTGATGGAACGCATTTTTTAGTTCATACGCAATGGCGAATCTATTTGTAGCTGATCTATGGAGAAAATTTCTGTATCTCAATAATCCATTGGATGGCGCGTCACTGGTCCGATCGACCAATTTATTCGAGTCCTTGGGTAGCACCACTGTGATCTGTTTTCTTGATCGTGAAGGGATTATCTCCTCTGTACGTTGTGCAACTTATTGAGAATGTTCTTCAAATTTGTTTATATAGCAAGTGTTCCTCACAATTGTTTATAATGATTGTAGCCGTTCGCTTCAGTTGACCAGATATTATTGCCTAATGAAGAGGAGGATATCACTGTCCTTGACATTGCCGAGGATCCGAGCACTGCATTTCGGGTCAAATTCGAAGATCAAGATTGGGATCAACATTTATCGTAGGTAGTACGTGGAATGGAACGTTCAAACATCAATGTTAAAGACTCATTGTTTAAAATATTTCTAGTCGTCTGAAACCTTTAGGACTCAACTTACTACTGAACACAAACTGTGGTGTCCTGCAGGGGCGCAAGCGGGCAGATCAACATAGAAAGCATTCGAGTCTTTACATCCATGCTAAAACGAAACCTGCGAGGCAATGTATGTTCAGGATCCCTTATAGTGCGGACGTTGACGCATTGCTAAATATTACATTGTTTTTGTATAGCGTGCTTATGTCGTTTAGGTAGAGAAATAGGTTTTACGGACGAGGCACTTCGACCATTCGTCAAAAGAAAGGAGATATATACGAGTGCACCTTGTCATCCATCGTTAAGAGAGCGTATAAGGAACGATCAGTGGGAGGTTCCTAGTATGATTTCTTCAATCTGTGAAGAACTAGAACGAGGTATGATCATCTGATGGTGAATGCATCTCTTCAAGCGTCTTTGAACGTCCTAGGGTTAATTCATAAACCAATAGGAAGCTACCAGTTGCTATCCGACGGTCATTTAGAGATCATATTAGACAACTGTTCGGATTATTGGAATGGTCTGGGACTACAGGTTATGAACAAAGAGGTGGGTTATCGTGCGTACAATGAATCATTGGGCTTCCTTCGGTTGAGCATTCAAAGTAGAAATGATATTTTTAGATGGAGGACAAGATATATGAATTTTATGAAAATGCAATCATAAATGACATGCAATGCATCGCGTACGCATATCGTCCGATCAACGTCGAGAATGGAAATAAGATTCCATTCTTAACCACCACAGCGAATGATTCCGAGGGAGCATACCTAGTATTACCCAGTCCCCCCGAGATTGATCTGATCACAAGGTCGGAAGGTGATGAAGATCTTTCCCTGTCGCAATTGGTCAGATTACATCGCCTGAATAGTGGAATGTTGGATGCAAACCTTCATGATTTTGCCTTTGATCAGAACGTGACACCAAGTTACGAAAAATCATTTTATCAGGATGTGATTCAAGGCCAAATCTTTCTTGCAATGGCAACACTCTGCCATCAACCCAAGCCTGTGAGCACCTATTGTTATTTATCATTTTGAGAAAATTTTTAATTATCTACATTAAAATGTGAACTTGTTGTCTTTGGCAAGGATGTTTGTGATTTCATTGAAGATTTGAAATTGGCGGGAATAAGATTTGTTTACTTTTCTCCGACGGCCGAAAGGGAAAGCAAAGGTTTGTTAGATGACCATTAATCCGCCTGAATTGGTGGTTCAAGGTTTGATTGCATCTTAAAGAACGAGAATCTAAGGTGTTGAAAAACAATAATATGCAGCTTATGCTATAAGGCTTGGACTTGAAATCAGTTGGAACAGCTGTATACTTTTATCGTCGCCCGATGACGAAAGCGATGGCTATTTGGAGTCCCATGACATAAAGGCCCGACTTCCGCATGGAACCGGTGAGATCAGAGATCATCTACGGGATGTAGATGATATTCCACTTCATGTCTCTTTATTTGCCGAATGTACACCGGCGAATACGCAAGAGATGATCAAAATATTCCAAGAGTATGGGGAGGTCGTGTGTTGTATCGGTAGTGCCCTCAATTCCTTCAATACTCCTTGTTTTGCTGTGGTATGAACTAATTCTAGTTCTGATGATGAAAACATTGTCATTTGCATTTCCCGAAAAAATCCTTAATCACTCAATTCCTTTTTGACCTAATAAATGTAGGCTGACATAGGCGTTGCTATGGAGCCGATGCATACCCGCGCACAAACGAAGAACGGGTTATGCCATTACTACAGCGTCCGAGGTCAATACCTGTCGATGGCATTGGGTATGGCATTTGCCACGCTGCCATGTGGATTTTTTATGCACTATGACACAAGCTTGTACGCACTTACGGACGTCATTCGAGAAGCTAGAAGATTAATAAACGGGCTACGAATGGTAATAGAGGGTGTACATGAATGAATTATTTTCAACGAGCGAATCCTTCAAAGCATCATTTATTTTAGGGAGTTTCCTTCTTGATTGGTGTATATTTGTCCCTTTCCCTAATAATGTTGCTATCATATTTTCTCTTCTTGCCGCCGGCGTTCACGGGATATCAAATATTGTGGGTTACTTGCATGATCTCTCCTGTGCTGGCACTTTCTTTTCTTGCTAACCCCCATTTACCAGATACCATGACCACGATGACAGGTAGGGAACGATTGATGATTGCATAATTTTTATTACTTATTAATTGACCTTTTCTTTGTTGTTCGTAGTTAAGAACAAGGAACATCTTCAGGATTTACCCCGTTTCATTTTATATTTTGTCCTGCGATTCTCACCTCCAATTATAATGTCATGTGCCATATTTGCTTTGTACGTTGTGCATGTGAAAATTTCTTTGCGTGAGTACTAAATACGGAGATCTCTCTGATAACTTTTCAATCTTTTTTTGAATAAGGTGTTTGTATTATTTCATCGGGGATTCTTCGATTTTCAATTCGTACGGAAGTGAGTGGTTGCACTGGACGCGCGAACAACAGTGGGCTGTTCTTTATGCGCAAAATTGTGCGCTGTTCACATTCGTATGGAGTATGGGTAAGTAAGATTTCCCATAATCCGTCCTAGATTTCAACGCACTCTTGGAAAATCTTTATTTTTAATTGACCTCTTCAAATTATTGTGTTGTTGTTTCAGCTTGCATCTCCATCACGTTTGTCAACCGAACATTATCATTACGAAAATTCAACCCTCTTAAGAATAACAAAATATGGATACTCGCCTTTATGCTAAGGTATCTTTTCAACCAACTAATTCGTATTCTCTACGCATTCTCTTAAACCATTTACTTTAATATTTGCTTACATTTCTTTAGCATGGTTTTGCAGCTACTCTTTACCATCGTATCTTTGGCACCGGCACCGTTCCCATTGCTTCGGCTGATCCCATATTATATTTATTTAATTATATTCTTGGTTCCTATGTTAGTATTCATTCCATTACAAGAATTGGTAAAAATGCATGATAAGAAAAAGTATAGCGAATTCCAGAAAAGATCGAAAATAGAGTTTAACACCAAATTGGGCATGTATTCTCCAGTTTAAGCCTTCATGGAGTCATTATTATTTGTTGATCGAGCTTTGCTTCTGGAGGTCACTGATCGAGGGATATGGCCGGATTATCACACATCTTTCGTCATGTATTTCAAACAATGTCATTTAATTTGATTTTTTCTGTTATCATGATAAATTATGTTGTATTTTATGCGGAACAAAACAATCATATATTGTAGAACAATACTGTCAGCAGAAATCTTGGACCAGAAATTGCTTGCTCCGTAAAATTTATTGCCTATCTTGATTGGTTATCGTACGATGCTTGTAAAAGGGGGGGCTTGGATAAATGCCAATAAAATCAAATAATCGATTATAAAGAACAAAGGATGTTTTTGAACTTTTTTTGTGCAAAGATAGGATCTCTATTCTAGGTTCTATTAACCAAAAATATAGAAATTTTATATATATGCATATGGATTTTTTAGTGTCAAATTGTAATCCTAACATAGCTGAAGTAGTAGTATACAAACAGTCTTTAGAATTTTTGTTATGATTTTAGTAATTCGTTTGTTCAATATGAAACGTTATAAATAATGAAATCAATTGTGTGCTTATTTAAAATTTAATCATATTTGAAAGTTACTGTTTACTTACATTATCTATTAATTAAAGAAATGATTATACTTTTATGCAACAAGATTGAAATTGTTTATATATAAAGTTGTTGCAATCTTTATAACGCACGTCATTCCTTTTATTAAAAATCATGTGAATTATACTTTCCTCGAATCCGGGGAGAAATGAAAGTTTTTTAGTTGCCATTAATTAGTTACCTTGTCTCATCATGCGAAATTAGTTAACTGCGAAGTGTGTTATTGTCCAGATGTATGCTTATATATATATATTGGATCTACTAATTGTAAACTGACAATGCTAACAAATGCCAACAAACACTCTTAAAATATCCAAAAAAAAAAAAAAAAACCACAGTTGAGAGGTATCAAAGAAATCTATATAAACAAATCATCTCGCAGTTCTTCTTCTTCGCTCCCTTGCAGATTCATAAGATCAGTCAAAGCTCCGTAGACCTGTGCGTCGATTAGAATCAATTGGTGATAGATAAGGAAATAATATTAAAAAAAAAAGAAAGAAAGAAAGAAAACGTAACACCAGAAGGTGTATATTTGTCTGCAGTTATCAATTTACCAATTTAATGTGTGCATTAATTTTGGCAATTTCTTGAGTGTATTTATCAGATTTACTGTTCATTTAGGGAAGGTCGTAGAATCAAATAATTAGAAACAGATTCCTATTAATGTAAAAAGAATCTTACCTTTGTAACATCTTTTCCTTTTTCTCGATAAATTCGACTGCCTCTTCCAAAGTTAATTGAACATGAAATCCAAATCCAACGTTTACGTAAATGTATGTGGTATCGGGTCTGCCATCACAGAATGCCATCCAATAATGTGAATAAGATGAAATTTTAAGGAGGTAGTGAGAAATTGTTTCAATGGATAACCAACAAGAGTGGAACGTACATTTTAGCTTGCACATAAAAATTTGATCCTATATCCACCATGGTTTTTAACTCCTTTAACTCATTTGACTGTATTAGCTTAATGTGATTTTTCAACTTAACACTATTTTTTTTTCATTTGGATTATGTTTTCAACGTGAATAACATTAACATTTATATACGTGGTTAAAGGTAAAACGGGGTAAAACGAATCCTTACTAATCCGATATTTCTTCATAAAGTTTCTCACGAAGATCCCATGTGGTTTTTAGGTCAACTTCCAATTTGTCGTGTAGAAAACTTTCATATTTCTCAATCTTTTTGGAAATGTCTTCGTCGCTCATCGTTTATCTGCGCACCGATTAAAGAACATCTGTTTTTTGTGTACCAGGTCGGCAGCGCACGCGCCACAGCCACATGATCACAATACGCACGGGAATTACGCAATTACCTCTTAGAACCCTAGATCGAGACTCGACTTGTTAGTCAGATACTTTATTACGTGCAAAAGTTAAAAACCACCAATAGAACAGAGGGTTACACATGATTTTGTCGATTTTGTAAATTTTTTATTACAAATATCATTATCAGTCCTAAAATTATTCTTGCTTACCAACAAAAGAAAATTAATTTATTATTTAAGAATAAAAATTTCAAATCTTTTGTATATTCTATTCTAATAGATTGCAAAAACAATTTAATTGATATCAAACATTTTATTATAGAAAGGCTTAAAGTAAAAAGCATATGCTATAGATAATTACAATTCTTGAAAAATCAAATAATTGTATCAAAAAATTGTATTATATATTTAAAATTGATGATTCTATAAATATTTTAATTTTTTATATAATAAAAATAAATATAAAAATTTAATATTTAATCTCATATTATATATAAAAAAATTAACAATTAATAAACTGATTATATTATACAGTTAAAATAAATTCAAAAAAATTTTATAAAATTTTTTAATTAATTTTATTTATTACTAATATATAATAATAATATATAATTTGATTTATTGTGATCAAATTTATATTCGATCAATATATTCAAATAAATTATTTTTAAAAAGACAACTTTCAAAGAAAGAATTCAAGAAGTAGTTTATAATAATAATGAAATAATAAAGAATATATTCACCAAAAATTTTTTAAATAATATTATACAATAATTTACAAAAAATATAATTTATTTATAACTCAAGTTTATTAATAAATCAAAAAAACTAAAACAATTCCTTTAGTTTTAAAGTTAAAAAAAGAATATTCAATTTTTCAAAAATAAAATAAAGTTATTTCAACAAATCTATTCTACTTTTGAGCAAATTATAATTACTTATAGTATATACTTGTAAAAATAGATTATTTAAGCCACTTGAACCTTTTAAATCTTCTGAGCTACCTAATTTATGATA